GGAGCTGAGCGGCTGCGCGGCCCTGCGGGAGCTCGGCCCGGGCGTGGCGGCCGCGCTGCCCGCGCTGCACACGCTGGTGCTGCGGCAGAACGCGCTGGGCCCGGCCGGGCTGGGCGAGGGGCTGGGCGGGCCCCTGCCCGCGCTCCGCCTGCTCGACCTGTCCGGGAACGGGCTGGAGGCGCTGCCGGCCGCGCTCGGCGGCGCCGGGGACGGCGCGGGGGACGCGGCCCCGGCGTTCCCGCAGCTGCGCGGCCTCAACCTGAGCGGGAACCGGCTGCGGGAGCTCGGCCCGGGGCTCGCCCGCGCCGCCCCGCAGCTCCAGGAGCTGCTGCTCTCCGGGAACCGCCTGCGGGCGCTGCCCGGGGGGCTCCTGCCCCCCGCGGGCCCCGGCGCGCCCTTCCCGCTGCTCAGCCGGCTGGACGCGGCCGACAACGAGGTGGCGGAGCTGGGCGCGGACATCGCGGCGCTGCCGGCGCTCAAGGTGGGAGCGGGCCCCGGGCTCCCTCCGCACTCCCGGGTCTCCATCACCCAGCCCTGACCGTCCCTCTCTGTCTCCTCCAGAGCCTGGACGTGGCCAACAACCAGCTGCGGGAGCTGCCCTCGGCGCTGGCCGACTGCCCCCGGCTGAAGGAGGCCAACTTCAGGGGCAACCCGCTGAGGGACAAGCGGCTGGAGAAGATGGTCAACGGGTGCCAGACAAAGGCCATCCTGGAGTACCTGCGGGCCGGGGGCCGCGGGAAGGGGAAGGCCGAGAGTGCCAGGGAGGAGGTCAGGAAGAAGAAGAGGGAGAAGCAGCAGAAGAAGGACGGTGGGGATGGGGAGCAGGATGAGGTGGAGGAGGCGAGCAGGCTGCTGGTGAAGGTTCTGCACGTCTCCGAGAACCCGGCGCCCTTGGTGGTCAAAGTGAGCCCGGGCGTCAAAGATGTTCGGCCCTTCATCGTGTGCTGTGTGCTGAAGGGAGTGAACCTAAAGCCGGGAAATGCTCTCAAGAGGTTCCTGTCAATGCAGGTAACTGCTGCTGCATCGTGGTACTTGTTTGCAGCAGGAATGTTGCTGTCAAGAGTTGGAAATAGACTGTTCTAGGCTCCTTCCAGCAGATGAGTTTGTGAACTGTAGGGTGGGAGGGTCCAGGGGTGGCCGTGCAGAGTGGCCTGTGCCAGCAGCATGTGCCCCGTGAGTCCAGAATCAGCAGAACTGGTTTTTGGGAAGGACCTGTTAGAGCTCAGGTGTTGCCATGAGGGCAATGGATGCGCTCACGTTTGTGTTGTGTCTGTAACAGCAGCTTGTCGGTGCTGTGGAACCTGTTGAGAGCTAAAAATAAACCTGTGTCCACGTATCCTGGATTGGCTCCAGGTTCCCTGATCTGTGCTAAAACCATGTTGCACACCCAGCCTTCTGACTGAGGCGTCCTACCCACAGACCTGTCCCTTAGGTGGCAGGTGGGAGCTGCTCTCGAGTTAGAGTATTTGTGATTTCTGACTTAAAACTCGATTTCCCAGTTGAGAAATGTCTCGTGCTGCTGGGCTTCTCTGCCTTTGTGCTTGGGCTGCAGTGCAGATACAGGCACCTCGCAGGGGAAGGGAAGGGCTCTGTTTCATACTCACCTGGCTGGTAGTGTTGCAGACATTAAGTATAGAAGAATCTGCACCCCAGAAGGGGTAAATCACTTTTTGATTTATTTTGGTTTAGACTAAGCTGCACGAGGACATCTGTGAGAGGCGCACAGTGGCCACCATTGCCACCCACGACTTGCAGCTGGTCAAAGCTCCTCTGACTTACGACATTCAGCCTCCTGACGAGCTGAAGGTAGGGCTTGGCTGTAGTTTCTTGCTCCACAAATCCTAGAAAACTAATTCCTGAAACTTCACTCTAGAAGCTCTACTGATTTTCTTGCTATCATGCTGTACCAGGTTTAGTACCAGCGACTGAGCCTGTATTTCAAGTGGGTGTTGTGGCTTACACAAAGCTTTAAACTCACAGCACTCTGAGAAGTGGAAGGTATATTTCCAGGCTGAAAAAGGCACGGGGAATGACAACATACAGGAGTATGGTTTTAATTATTGACTTGCTCAGAGGAGTTTTGAATTCAAATGTTTGTTTCCTTGTGTGGTGCAGATAATGCCCCTGGGTCGGAAGGAGATCAAGGCAAAGGACCTTCTCCGGCAGCTGCATCTGGAGGCTGAGGAGCAGCGGAAGCAGAAGAAGCGTCAGAATGTCTCTGGGCTGCACAAGTCAGTACCCTGGTCATTTGTGGTTTTCTTCACACACATTTAGGTGACTGCACTGGGGATGGGGCTCACAAACCCAGCACGAGCTCTTGGGAGTTGAGGTGAAAAACACTGAATTTTTGCATGAAGAGTAACCCGGAAGGAAGGGAGGATGCTCAGTGCCCTTCCAGTGTTTCTGTCTGCATCCAGAGTAAATTATTGTCATGTGAGTTATTCAAGAGGTGACAAATCTATTTAGAACAGCAAATAGAAGGGAAGCAGAGAATGAAGTGTATGTGGTGCACATTCAGCAAAGTGAATCAGAGATGGGGTAAATCTGCAGGTAGGAGCAGATGAGCATGTGGTTCTGCCCTGTGCTGTTCACTGCTCGTGCAGAGGTCACACACTAATTCCTTTTTGTCACTGTTTTCTGCCATTGTGTCCAGCTGCTCTCTGTCACTCACTTTTTGCTGCACTGTTTCTTTTGGCAGGTACCTGCAGTTGCTGGATGGCAAAGACAACTACCCGTGCCTGGTGGATGCTGAGGGCGCTGTGATTTCCTTCCCACCAATAACCAATAGTGAGAAAACAAAGGTACTCTCTGTTCATGGGAATACATTAGTCAATTAAACAGTGTTTCTTTCTGCTGAGAGTTAACACAAAGACACACACAAGTTGTGTTCCAGATATAAACCCTCACAGCCTGTGTCTTGTGTGCTCGACTGTCAGACTGAGAGGGATCTGGGAGTTAGAGTTGTACCTCTGGAAATCTGTTCCAAAGGCACCAGCCTACCTGTGCAAAGGCTTTGTGGAAGGGCAGGAGCAAAAGAACAGCAGTGCTTAACCCCTGGTTAAATTAAGTGAAAGCCTGTAGTTCTGTGTTTTGAAATGTGTCAGAGGGCTGGGGGTGAGATGCTCTGACTCCTGACTTGCTTTAACTGTGAAACTCTTACAGATTAGAAAAGAGACCCGTGACCTGTTCCTGGAGGTGACGAGCAATACCAGTTTACAGATCTGCAAAGATGTGATGGACACGCTCATCCTGGTAGGGAGATCAGGAAAATATCCTGTCTCTTCTTGGTGGGCTCCTACCAAATGTGTCATTGCTCAAGTGCACGGAGAACACAGAAGTTGATTTGTATTTTAGCAGTATTGTTATTCCCTCTCGTTAATTCTCTGCCACAGAATTGATCTTGTTCTCTGTATTTTGCTTTAACAGAAAACTGCGGAACTGAACAGGTTTACCTTGGAGAACAAGGAAGGCTCAGGCTCAGATACCGAGCTGGATGCTCTCTGTGGACCAGGGAGTTTGGAGCCCGGGAACCTGCCACTGGTGTTGGAGCAGGTGCGAGTGGTGGACACGGATGGAAACCTGAAAGTACTTTATCCTTCTAAAACTGACCTGGCCACGGTGTCCTCTCTGCTGACCGTGATCCGTTAGCAGCTGTCCCAGCTGAGGAGAGGACTCCCTTTGCTTTTTTGTTTTTCCCGTGTTCAACAGCCCATACACAGTGAGGGGGTTTGGGTTTCTACAGAGAAGATGCAGAGCATCCTGCTGGGGAGGCAACAGCTTCAGAGTTTGAGGAGCTTCAGCAAAGAGAATGAAATCTTTCAGCCTTAGCAGAGACACTGGTGTTGGGACAGGGCAGAGAGAGCAGCATCTTCAAATGTGGACTTATGGCAGAGGAGGTGTCAGACATCAGAATGCAGCAACTTGTAGAGAAAACCATCATGATATTTAAAACAAATGCAGCCACAGTTTTCTGCAAGATCCCTTTTTCCTCCTGGTGTGCTTCGTCTGGATCGTTATTTTGGCAGCAGAGAAATGCAGCAGGTGACAGTGTGGAACGGAGGTCCTGTGCTGGGCACAATTCAGGATCAGAATGCCAAACCACTTTGCTGACATCTCGTTCTGCATGGTTCTGGTTTTATCTGGAGTTACTGTGAACACTTAGTTCCTGTCAGAAACATTTAATTGCTGTCAGAACTTGTGGGATGAGTTTTAAAGTGACAGTTTCTGTGTTCAGGCATGAACAGAGCTCCCATTTTTAAGTGGTCATTTGAAATGCCTAACAGTGTCCCAGAGTATTTCAGAGCCACCCTGCATCCCTGTGGAAATGTCTGTGTGGCTGATGATTTACTGTGGTAGAGCCTGGGCTTTGTTGATGCTGATGAGGTTCAGGTCTGTTCAGAGGGCTCTTGCTGCCTCACACTGGCACTGCTGAAGCTCCCTGTCCCCCCAGAATACAGACACTTGTGCCAGAGTGACCCTCCTGGGGCTTTCTGTTCCACCCCACGTGGAGAGTGTTGGGGACACTTCCCAAAATACAGGCAGTTGGGGCAGTTCTCAGTTGGGCAGTCTGTGGGTGACCTCTACACCCAGGTGACCACTGGTGTGAACTTGCAGCTCTCCCTTAGCCAGGGTCACTTCCAGATAGACTCTTTTCTGTTAAAAATGATACTCTTGGAGCCCTAACTGAACTGATACTCTGTCAAATACATCCCTGTGCTGGGACTTGCATATGGAATGGAAAAATAAAACAGTACTTGCAGTCATGGCACTGTCACTCATTTTGGCACTGGTGAATGTTCAGTCACCTCACTTAAAAACTTCCCAAAGCAGCTGTTGTGCACTTCAAAAACTGGAATTTCACACTTCCCAGCTGCTTGTAGCCAACCAGAGCTTGTGCTTTGGGCTTCCCTGGGAAGTCAAGTGTTTCTACAGACCAAGGACTCACAGCGACTTGTGCTCTGAGTCGGCTGAAACAATTGAATCAGGTACTCCTGCAGAACTTGATTTCGGTAAAATGAGTTTAATCTGTTGTAGGTCACCAGCTCAGAGCCAAGGACCCAGAGCTTGAAGTTGGTGGTGGTTTCTGGCTCAGCCATCAGGGCAGCTTTTCCATTCGGGGAGAACTCGTCCTCTTGGGAGGTGATGAACTGTACATGCCGGGGTAGTACAGGGGCACCTTGATGTCTCTGTGCTTCAGCATGTGATAGAACTCCATCCGCTCGTCAGCAATTCTCTGGAAATCAGGGACACGTGAAGGAGTGGGAATGCAGAGGTGGAGAGCAGCGCTGCAAAGTGTTCTCTCACCTCAGCAGTCCCTTCCTGGCTGCTGGAAGCTGAGTTTGGAAGAGCCACATACCTGCAATGCCTCCAGCACCTGCTCCTCCGTGAGCTTGGCGTGGGGGGGGTCCTGGCCCTCCACACTGAACGCAGCCTGGATTATTTTGCTTCGTAACCTGTCAAACTTGGGATAACAGAGGAAAGCAGGTGCATTTAGTCTGTATATATAATTCCTTGACGTTTGCATGGATTTACAGAGACTGCACTGTCAGGCCTGGGCAAAGTACTGGTGAGTGATGAGATGGAAAGTGTTCGTGAGAAATTATGGGCGTTCTGGGTTTCTCTACAAGTGCTGTGGTCACGGTGTGGGTCTGGCTGGGCTGCGGCCCTTCCCCAGGCATCAGGCACGTCTGCCTGCAGGAAGTGGCTTTAAGGTGGTTCCTGTTACCTTGAGTCTGGAAGGATGTTAGAAATCTGGTGATGTGACTGTTCTGAACTCTAGTTTCTCAAGGGCTTCTGGTATTTGAGGCCTGTTGGCATTGTAAGTGGTGTAAGAGCTGCCTGCTGAACAACCGGGGAGCAAATGGACTGCGATTCCCAGGTGTGTCCCAAGAGAAAGGCAGGGCTCTGAGGTGAAAGAGGCTGTGTTTACCTTGCTGCTGATGCGTTCCAGTGCCACTTTGGTTTGCACCTCCTTGTGCTGCAGTGCCTCAACCTGGCTCTTGGTCTCCTCCTGGGCCTGTTTCTGCTCCTGGGCGTGGCGGCGGCTGGTCACAACCTCGATCCGGAGCCGTCTGATTGTCCCCTCTAACTCACTGATCTGCTCCTCCTGCTTAGCCAGCTGGGATTCCTGTTCTGTAACAACCTGAGCAGATGCAGAAATCCAGCTGTTACTGTGGGGAAGAAAGTGAGCAGGTTTGGCCTCATCTTCCAAATGCTTCTGGTATTTCCTGGGCAGAGTCTATGGACAAACAAACTCACCAGTATCCCGTAACTGTTATTACTTGGCATTTCCTCTAAAACTACTTGGATTGAGTAGAGGGATTAAATGCCAAACAAGCCCAGTGAAGCAGCAAATACCAGAATTTTCTCTGGTGGCTTTGCACCACATTCACCTGTCGAAGGCTGTCGTTCTCCTCCTGCATCATCACCATTGCTTCTTCCTTCCTCTGTTCCTCTGTAAGGCTGCAAAACTGAAGGCAGAATATTTTACACTTTCGTTTCACAGTTACAGGTGCCCCTCCTGCCTATGAGAGAGGGAACTGCTGCGTAAATCCCAAATTCCCAGCTGCCAGCTCTCCTGCCAGCCACGGCCACTCGGGCTGTACCTTGTCAGACATGGCTTGGAGCTGCTCTTCTCGCTCTCTGAGCTGCTTCTGAAGCATTTCGTTCTCGTATCTGAATCTCCGAAGCTCAGATTCTTGGATCTCCAGTTGTCTTTGCAAGGAAGAGATGGCACCTGTGGAGTGGGAGTGCTGTGTTAGGCCAAAAGCTCTGTGCCTCCTTAGGTGAACATGAGCAAAGCCATGGGCTGGGAGTAGACACTGTGGGCCACATTAATGCTGCAGCCACAGTGACACTGGGTGATAATGTGGTTTGTGGTGCTTTGTGGGTTTGTTCAGCCTGGAAAAGAAAAGGCTTTGGGGTGACTGTGGCCTTCCAGTACCTGAAGGGAGCTACAAGAAAGGTGTAGAGAGATCACTCACAAGGGCCTGGAGTGGCAGGACAAGGGTGAATGGCTTCAAAGTGACAGAGAGCAAGCTCAGATTAGATATTGGGAAAAAATTATTCCCTGTGAGGGTGGGCAGGCCCTGGCACAGGTTGCCCAGAGAAGCTGTGGCTGCCCCATGCCTGGAAGTGTCCAAGGCCAGGTTGGACAGGGCTTGGAGCAACCTGGGCTGGTGGAAGGTGTCCCTGCCTATGGCAGGGGGATGGAACTGGATGAGCTTTAAGGTCCCTTCCAACCCAAACTATTCTATTAAACTACATGACTCTGTGTGAGGTGGGCACTGCTCTGAGGGCACGTGGAGAGGGTACCACGAGCCCAGGTTTGCCAGAGCTGACACTGCTGGGTGCCCAGGGACTCTGCTGGGGCTCTCTCTGCTGGGGTTTCTCATGTTCTTCACTTCGAGAGGAGAGAGGGAGTGTTTTCAAAACAGGTGGCAATTTCAGCCTCGCTCTGTGAGCAACACCCTGCGATGTTCCCAGGGTCAGAGGAGCCGAGACACGCGATGAGCTGGGCACGGGATGGTTGTTCTGGGCACCTTCCCCGGTACCTGTGGCCATGTTGTGGTCATCCTTGGCTCTCCGCAGCTCCTCCCGGAGCTGGTCCAGGGTCTGGGTGGGCTCTGACCCCTGCGAGGCAGCAGCGGCTTCCCCGTCCATCGCCCGGGGCCTCCCGGCAGGTCCCGACGGGCTTTGGAGCGGGCTTGGAGCGGGTTTGGAGCGGGGCCGCTGCCCGGCAACGGCGTGGGCCGGGCGGTGTTTTCCGCTTCCGAGTGCCCGCCCGGGGCCGGGCGGGGGAGAAGCGGCTCTGCGACTGCGGGGCCGCGTTCCCCGGCCTTGGAGCCGCCGTCCTGCCCCTCCTGCCCGTGCGAGTGCGCCGGGAGCGCATCCCGGGAGCGCATCCCGAGCGCCGGAGCTGCGCCGGGACCGCGGGAGCGCCGGTCCCCGAGCGGACACACGGACAGGCGGACAGACGGAGCGGAGCCGCACCGAGCACCCCTCGGGCTTGTCCCACCCTTCCTCTGCCGGCCCGACCCTCCCCTGCCTCCCCCAGCCCATCCCTGTCTCACCGACCCCCTCCCTGCGGGTCGGAACGAGGTGAGCTTTGAGGTCCCTTCCAGCCCACAGCGTTCTGCGATTCCAGGATTCCTTTGGAGCACAGAGCCCAGCAGAAGGCAGAGCCTCCAGCCACGGGGCTTTCCGGGAGCTTTGGACCTTTGTCACGGTGAGGAGCTCTGTGCAGGTGGGTGGCTCTGCCTGTTCCCGTGTGGCTCTCACAGGCCGGTTCTTGATGTGTTTTGAAAGCTTTTTGATGGTGTTTTTATTGTATTACAACAACATTCTTGCCTTCTTCAGTTTCAGAGTATTCGTTTATAAACAATGCTTCTTGCAAGACTCTTTAGTTCCATCAGTTTCCAGTTCCTGCCTGTGGAATATACATTCCTAAAACTGGAAGTAGTGGTGACATTTGTAACTTAATTTCCTTTGGGAAATTGTTTTTAACAGTAATTTTTCAAACTCAGAAAAGCTATGTCTTAATGCTTGTTATCCACCTCATTCACTGTTTTTTGGTAATTTATTGAGAAAAAAAAGAAAGTTTTATATATCCAGAAGCCACCTCTTGCCTCTCTGTACTCACTGTAGCAGTTTATTACTCACAGGTGGGTTTCTTTTTGGTTTCAGCAGCTTTAGGCCCTTTGAGGTCCTAAGGTGAAGGTTTATGTGGGTTAGGAGGGCACTTTCTGTACAATTTTAATTGCCAGATGCAGCAATTCCCACATGTGCTTTTATTGTGTTACCAAAAAAAACCCCAAAACCAAACCAAACAAAAAAACAACCAACAAACCACAAAAGAAAAACCACAGCTGTAAAAATAACACATTTTCCAAAGGTAACATTACAAAAAGTACCATTCCTGCCATGGAGTGATCCATTAATACTGCTGGGAACAGCCCCTGTTAATGCTGGAAATGTGAATGGTTGCTGCAGAAGCTTTAAAGCATTGAAGTGCTTTATTGAGCTGTTACCTGGGGACACACATTCACACATCAGCCACAGCCAAGGGAGTTGGGTTCCAGTCCCAAAGGAGTCTGTTCCCAATCCCTGTGGTAGGAGGGGTGGGGTAGCCTCAGGGACAGTGACTCTGCACGTGTGGCTCACCCATCTCCGGAGAGTGGGAAGGACAGGAGGGAGAGGAGGCCACCCCTGCGTGCTGAGGGCTTGGAGCTGCTGTGGGACACCAGGACAGGGCACTGGAGAGGGGACCTGGGCCCGGGGCTCCAGCACTCACAGCCGTGTTCCCCCTGGAGAGGGAACAGACACTGCCTGCCCGCAGGAGAAGGTGCATCCCAGGGGAGCCCTGAATGTCATAGGTGGGGCTCGAGCTCTTGTTTTGTTCCTGCTTAGAGTCCAGGGCTTCGGGAAGGGTCTGCAGCCCCTTCCCCAGCCTGGGGAGGTGGGAAGCAGGTGTAGGGCTGCCTTTGGAGGCCTCCACAGGCAGTGGGAAGGTGCCAGGAGCATCGTTTCTGTGTGGGTTCCCTCAGCCTGCCCAAAATCTCGAGTGACCCAGGGCTGAGGGGGCAGATGCAGCAGCTCCCTGTCCACCCGTGCTCCCTCCCACAGCAGGAGCTCCTGTGACTTCCTGGGCCTTTCTGAGACCTGCTGTGGGACATTGCCTTCCCAGATGTGTAGGGAATTAGCATTCAGGGAGGGAACACACCTACTTTGTATGTCCTTGCTTTCTGTGCAGGTTTTTTTGCCAGCCCGAATCAAGGGAGAAATTACAGCTGGGAAAAGTGACCAGGAACAGAACAGAACTGTCACCCAGACCATTGCTGTGCTCCAGGACAGGATGGAATTTACACTGCCTGCATTCTGGCTCACCAGGTCTGACCTGTCTGCAAAACTCTCCAACAGAGCAGGGAGGGATAATCCAGACCTCTGACTTCGCAGGACAATCACTGGCTTTCTCCCTCCTCTGCAATTGTGTGAAAGATTCAGAGGAGAAAAAATTGGATTTTAAATAGATAAGGCTGGAAACAGGATTTTCTGCATTTTTACATGCTACAACATGAAATTAATTTACTTGACACTGTGGTGTCTCAGGAGTCAGTATCAATTTTTATAGCTTACATGAAAATAAATCTTTCTCTCTCCTTACAGCACAATGAGTTTACTGTATGTACATTTGCTGCTGTTTATATACACCAATATTTAGGTACAAGAACACATCAGGAACAGACAAACAGGTTCTTTCCAGCTCTAGAGAGGGCTGAGGGTAGGGTTTGGCAGTCTGTCGGGAAAGCAGGATGTGGCTTCGCACCAGTCCTGACGATGCCTGCACAGGTGAGGGCTGAGTCTGTGCTGCAGTGACAAAGCCCTGTGGGTTTGGGACGCCCCAGGGAACACAGACAGGGTCAGTGAGCAGGGATGAGAAAAACGTGCTGTCCTTACACCACGTCTGTGGGATGCAGGGATGCTCCAGGAAAACACAGACCAGACGATGCCTCCCGTGCCACGGGCAGGCGGAAATCCCACTCCAGCTGCTGAGCTGGCTCGGTTGCCCTCCTCCTCCTCCTCTTCCTCCTCCTCCTCCTCACCTCGGCCGAAGCCACCGCAGTTTCCTCCCCGGGGCAGGCGCCTCCCGCCCGGCTCAGGGCCCGCAGTTCCCCTCGGACAACAAAATGACCCTTCTCCAGGCGCCCGAGGCTGCAAACACATTTCATGGGGGGCTCAGCTCCCCCCTGGTCTCTCGCTGCCGCCTCCGGAGCCGCTCAGTTGATCTCTCCCTCCGTGAATTCCTCCTTTATGGACTGTTTGCGGGATTTGCAGTCCGGGAGGTCGAAGCCGAAGTCGGCCCAGTCGTCGGCGTTGCCGCGGTTGGGGATGGTGATGGTGTGGCGCACGCGGAAGTGCACGGCCTCCATCACCCGCTGCCGCTGCAGCTCCCCGGAGCTGCCGATGGAGATGGTGGAGGCGTTGCTGCTGGAGCGGATCAGCTGCTGGGCCCCGTAGTCGTGGCTCTGCTTGAGCTCCTGCAGACCCCGCCAGATGATCATCCTGTACTGCTCCGGGATCTTCAGTGCTCCGAGATCCTGGAAGGACAGCAGCGCTGAGGCACAGCCGGCAGGGATGGGGCTGTACCAGCGGGACCGAGCCCCGCACCCCCCCGGTCATGCTCTGGGGCCACGTGGGCTCGAGGCCTGAGCACCCAACGGGGCAGGGCTGGACCTCCCCCGGGTCACAACAGCAAGGCCGTGGGTGCATCATCCCCCAGGTGATTCCTCTTTTGTAACCCAGTTACTCAGCCACAGCGTTGCAGGTCAGAGATGTGTTTTGGGAGGGGTTCACATCAAACTGATGTGGAAACGAGAGGAAGGACAGGGAGGGGACCATTGCCCTCAGACACAGGTTCAGAGCAGCATGTGAAGCATCCTTGTGCCTGTTCCCCTGGGCTTCTGCTCCAGCCCTGGCCCGGGAGGCTGGAGCAGCACCTCCCCCTACACCAGGGGCTGTCCCAGCACCACAGGCCGAGCTCACACAGCCGGGCGAGGTGGGTGACCTCCCACTGGGGCCCTGGGCCAGGACGGGCACGGGCACAGCGGGGACCTGCCAGGGATCCACGTTAGTGCCAACACAGAGACTCGGGGAGTGTTACTGGAGCAGACAGTGAGTATGCAATTAGTAGCTACAAACGCCGACTTGGACACAAAGCTCAGCGCCCTGACACGAGTTTTGGCCATTCCAAACATTTCCTTGGACAGCTGACAGATGGTCACAGAGTTAGTTCAGCAAATGGTCCAAAACCAGGCTCAGGTTACGCAACTGGCCCCAGCTACCAGTGACAAATCATCATCTCTCCCACAGGTGTAGCTGCCAGGTGGAGATGCTGCTACACCTGCCTGGGGCAAAATGGGGTTGGGCAGGGGCTCTGTCTCAGCCAAAACACCAACTCTGGGATGTATGGGACTTGCCATGGCTCAAAGGGTTTAGGATTATTATTTGTTTTCCTTCTTCTCATTCCCCTGATGGGCTGGGGAAGCCCCAGCTCTGGTGCCACCCAGGTACTGGCACCACTGTGTGGCAGCAGCAGAGGCTGAATGCTCTGGGGCACACACAGGTACTTCCAGCATCCCCTCTGTGTTTTTCCTGCCAGCTTTTGCCTGATCTTGGCTATTTCATTCCTGGCTTCCCTTGTTATAAATGCCCTGGGCTCAACTCCCTTATTTCAGCCTCTTTTGTCTTAAAGATTAACAGGGGAAGAGGTGAGATCAGATTAAACCTCCCTGAGCTGCAGTGGGGTGTCCCTGCTGGCTCTGTGGGATTTGGGGTGTTCCACTGAGCACCTCAGATGTGTTTTCTGTGTTAGGTGGAAAAATCTCCCTGAGCTCTGGCCTGGGGATATTTAATCTCTCTTGCTTCTGACAGTCTTGAGGAACTAGCTGAGATTTGGTTTTCATCAAGGCCTGAGATGCTGCGAGGCTGCTGGAGTGGGAGGCAGCAGTCCTGGGAGCACACGTTTTCTGTGAGGGGCTGGGGCACAGGATTCCCTTCCCTTAAAACACTTTTGGTTTTGCTTTTCAGACCAACAGCTGCTGGAAACAAGTGGTAAGAACAGATCTTCCCAAAGCATTTACCTCTATGGATAGGTTCTGCAGGTGGTAAATATTCTGTAACCCTTGTGAGGTGAAATAGTCGATGCAGTTTGGACACCCCAATCCTGTTAAAAAACTGCAGAAAAAGTTTGGAAAATAAAGTGGCATTAACTTCTCATGAACAACAGCTGTGCTG